AGTGATCAGAAAAAGAGGAGGAGTGTACATCGTCATATCAACTTTTTTCTAGTGCATTTAATGTCCTATTAATCTGGTACTTTACATGTGGGAGGTTTGCAAAAAAGTCCAGGGGGGCGAACGTGAGATTCTGATGACGGTAGAGCCAATCTTGTCGGTCGTAGAACCAGCCCTCAGTGACATCTAGAACGTCGCTGTTCAGGTGCATAACAAACTTGTTGATGAACAGTTCGGGCGACTGCAGTCGGAAGAGGGGCTGCAAGTCCTCAAGGGCAGGAATGCAGACAAGGTGGCGCCATTTGCCGTGGCACTCTTCTGGCCAGAAGTGTTTCCACCGATTCACAAATCCTTCGCCTCTTCTGTAGGCCTCATCGCCGTCTATGCACGGATAGAGTGCAGAAGATGGAAGTAGGCAGGTGAGTCGGCAAAACAATATAAGAGATCGGCAAGATCACTGCCTTTGTGTTATTCAGCTCACGGATCAGAAGTTCCATGTTTAGTCAACGCACCTGCCTCTAACAACCAGAAATACGACTGTCGGCACAATATCCATAACTTTTTGCATTGTCACTTATTTAGTGGAAGTCAATAGAAGACAACGACTAGAGAGTCTGGAGGGATACTGTTTTTTTAACCGTGGTCGTGCACTTGATTGGTCAGTGGAATTAATATCCTCGCATTACAGGTAGCCTTGCACCGAATTTTGCGGACTCTACCTATTCCCGCGTCCTAACTTTAGCCCTAACTGTCTTGAATTTATCGCAAGGCCACCTGTAATAGTGGAGGTACTTGCTTCCATGCTCTACCGTGCATTATCGCCTCTTCACTCTTCTCCTCCCCCATTCACCAACTGCCTATCACATTAGATCTGATTTCATGCCTCTTCTCTGCTGTTTCATCAGTAAATTCGGATGCGTTATCCGTTCACTTCGTCAAGTCATTGGCTTCGTTTTCTCGGTACGAGTCATGCGAACGGGACTTTCCAAAATTTCCTACCATCTTCATCTGTCCCTCCTCGTGCTGAACGAGCTGATCGCATGGTGCTTTTTTCGTGCGAAACCCACTTGAGTAGCGCAGTTATAACTGTTATTCGATGTCCACCAGGACGCTCAGACGAAAAGACACAGTCCTCCTGTCGGTCGTTAGTTCTTGACCATTTATGGTGACTTCTGGGTGGCGGTTAGCCCTCAGATCTTAACAGAGCGCATTTTCGCAAATCGAAAATTGTATCGACAAGGGTTAATAAATCTGCGCCTGGGGCAACTGAGTCTCAAGTTTTCAAACACCTGACTCACCTTCAACGACGAGGTGGGATTCTCACAATCACCCGGTCATTATGGCTAAGTAGTAACGATGTAGAAGTGCCGGAAAAGGTCGAGAACTGCCATTCGCAAGAAGGCACACGTCCGACGGGTTTTATTGCGAAAGCGGCTATGCAGGAAATCACGAACGCCACACTGCGTCACAATAGCTTATGCGCAATCTACGGGGAAAATGGAGGGAGTACTTAAAAAAGGCGTGGAGAAAACGTCTATCCGATTTTCCGCGACTGAAAAGAGAAAATTGGTCACCTTGACGCCTATGTCTTCAGGAGGTGAGGAGATGGAGCTGGGGCGGCTGAGTACGCACTCACGGAGTGTGTCCGCTACCATCGCATCTCGCACTCGGACTTGAGACTGAGGCGACTTCGAGTCCCAAAGAGGAGCTCATCAACTCATAACGGTGGCTGAACCTCGACAATATTGCCCATTAGCCTAGCGCACTTCATCCGATGGAGCCCACGACGTCCCACCCCTAACGCACACCTATCAGGTTATTACCAACGCGCGGGAGCCCCTCTGCCACCGTCATAAGTAATGAGCCAGTCCACAGCACCCTTCCAACACTAAATATACCACCCCGGCTCCCGTAACCCGACTGCGTCTGCGGCTGCAAATAGGGCTGCAACGGGCTAAGTGTCGCGGCTGCGAGACTTGAGTCCAAGCACGCTAATCTGCGACACTACCCCTGTCATTTACCGTCTTCCACGTCCTCGCTGGCCGGACATTCGCCTAGGATCCGGTCACCCGCAGCGGTTGCTTCCTGTCCAAAAACAAAAACATAAATAACAGCGATGGCGCTCATTGTCCCGACGCTGAAAGCTACTCACCCGCCCTGGTCTAAACTTTGCTTAGCGTCCGAAACAATCAGTAAAGGCGACAGTATTGAGGTGCAATAACGGTATCACTTTAACGACGCACCTGTGGCACCCCGAGCGCCGACTGGGTCGCAGAATTCAACTTGAGTCCAGAATTCCACTGGTGTTACCTTCTGATAAATTGGCCGGCTGGCCTAATTTTTGTTCGGTACGAGGAGAAAGGTATTTTTAATTCAAAATGAGGAGTCGACCCTTTGAAAGCAACCTTTTTCTGTCCGGTTGATGCGCATCACGGCGACATGGTTTCATTTCTGGCATACTTGCCATTATTAGCCAATCATACGTGAACCTGTGGTGGGGAGATCTACCAAGCCCTAGGCTTTCTTTTGTTTTAAAATATTTCACCTGTAAGGAAGTAGGAGTTTTAAAAACTAATGCTTTCATAATAAGACAGGGTGGAAGTGGGGCTTAAGACTTCTGAAGGAGTTTTTCAGCAATTAGAAAAAAAAAACAATATAACAGAATGAACCTATATCGCATCACCTCATGAGAAAAAGCAAATAATCTGGACTAAAATAAGGGTTCACCAAACTTTCACACCAAACCGTCCAGGACAGGGCGGTGGTCACCACCCAGCTTCTGTACAGAACATACGACCCCTGCTGGTGTCCTTCCCCTTCTCCTTCAAAAAGAGATTCAGCCGTAATTACTGTAGCGCTCTATCACCAACATCATCACCTCATCAACAAATGCATCACACATGGACACGCTTAAAATCACACACTACAGGCACAAACTAGAAATCTCTCACGTGAGTGAGAAGTGTGTTCTACGGCTCTCTTTCCATGTGGCCCTTCTGCTACATGTGAGATCCGAGCAGCCCACATTCTTCGTGCGAAACCCCGGTGTCTTTTTGTGGAGGTCCCGGTCGTGCGCATGGCAGGCGCAGACAGGTCGTTTTCAGTTCTGTTGGCCGCCTCTCTCAATCTTAGCATCAGTTGGTTGAATGGCCTGGACAATTGACTGATGCATGGGATAGGGAAGAGAGAGAGAAAGAGGGGAGATAGTAAGGTCAGTGTGCTTGAGACTATCACGTTGCACTAAAAGTCTTGGCTAGGGAAGCCGTCAATTGCGGATTCATCTCGAACCTCGCAGTCAGCCCAGTGTTCCGTGTGTGGAAAGGCCGACTGAGGAACTAAGAGTCGGACTGGAATGGCTCCTTCTTAATGTAGCTTTTATGGTACTCCCACTTAGTTGGGATCTGTGCCACCCACCGTTAACTTGTTGTGTGAAATCCTGCTCGTTTATGTGCAAATCAGGGGATGGGTTTGCGCGTCTAGATGCGGGTGTACGCCGCACCAGCCACCTGCGACCTCTCACGCCTCCGATCTCCTTGACTCTGCCCTGACACTGGGCCTGGGTGGGAGAGGAAGAGAGAATGTGGTGGATGCAGCGCAAGTCACCATGCTCTGGGGTACACGGTAAGCATGGTTGGTAACGAAGGCCGAAGTGTCACTCTGCGTACACTCATCACCTAGACGTCACAAATTGTTCACTCCGACGTGTTCGATGCGTAAACAGCTGACGTTCAATACCTCCCTGAAAGTCGGATCACAGACCTCCTCATGTGGGGTCAGATGCGTTAACTACAATGACATGTGACTCACTATCTAACAGTACTTATAACCAGTATACAATATAGTGAAACGTCGAGTCCTCTGTTTATCTCATTTTTACGCTTCTACTACGAGCGTTTAGCAGACGGACAGGTGAGTGTTTCACTTATTGATTACTAACTCCGAATAATTGCATATCCCAATGTACTTCGCCCCTCTGTTATTATCGCAAGTGTACTATTTCCTATAACCGTCCCTTGAGCGACTGTTATAACGCTAAGCTAGGCGCTGACAAGTGGCGAGTGCATGGGCATGGTGTTAAAGCCCTCCTCCTTATCCATCCAACGAGCTGCGATGCAACCTGGTTAACGGACAGACACCTGCAGTACCCTCGGATCGCATGAATCAGCGACTTGCGGACGCAACGTAAGCATTGCGCTTAGCAATCGGGCCGGATATGTGGACAACACTCTCACTCGAATCCTCTAAAGGCCCTAGGTTGTTCTTAAAACACAACTTTTCCACGAACGGAATAGTGTTCACGCGTCTTGGCGAAAGCTTTTTTTTATCATCTTACTCCTTCCATGGTGAATCAGAGGATTTGACCTTCCGAAGTTACCAGGTCAAAAAACTAGCATCTACACAGAATCTCGGAACGAAAGATTTCAGCGCATATTCCCCAAAAAGTCTAATTTCTTTCAGCCTTGTATACTCCTACAGAAAGACAGTAAAGGCTAGAAGAGGCAAAGCTGAAATCGGTTAAGGCACTAACAGGGAAAACCACCGGGTGCGCTGAGAAGTGCATTGTGGTTCACAGTGGAAAAGAAGGCCTCGTCTGGCACGCCAACATGCGGAAGGAAGTGCAGAAAGTCGCGAACTCTGGGGTCCGTGAAGATGAAATCAACAAAAGCCCAGGACAGTACAACGTGAACGGAGCCTTTGTAGAGCTGCAGTCCATGTGGAGGTCGATGGAGTATAGGGTATCTATAGAAGTCGAATCTATGAAAGAAAGTACATGATTAAAATCTCAGCGTTGCATTGAAATGCAGAGGTAATGGATTTATGTTTCGCAGGTACACATAACTGTTCCGCTTTGCTTGTCTCATTCTAGTACATTTTTTGAGCTTAATTATTAGATTTTAACGAACAAAAACTGACGCTCGCTATGCCTTTGGTGCCCAAGCTCCCAATAGGGTGACGTGGATCGCAAAAAGGTAATTGTCTACAAAGGAGCTAATTAAAAAGAAAACATAGAATATATATATGCATACATACATATAAGTTTTGGACTGATGATAGCATAATATGAATACACGAACTTAAAACATTTGGCTCAACGCAGCATATTGAACGACAATTTGAGGAGCCTGACCGATAAACACGGGCGAGTCCGATGCAACAAATTGTCCACACTTACGCCTGCTCTCTTAGGTCAGTCATATCTCCTAGCAAAACCTAGGGGGAAACGGGACGACTGGCAAACACACGGATCACAGGGGGTCATGGGTGCGGTCCCGGCAATGGGATTGGTGGCGCAGAAGAACCAAGATTTCATCTGTGTCTCCCCAATAAACAGTTGTTTTTGGATGCATCGAGTGCTACCCCACATTGAAATGGACGCACACTCGTATGCTTTGTTACTAGATCTCCGTATCTTTATCCATCATCCGCTAACACGCAGATGTGAGTTTGCTAATTTATGGCATTTTGGGAAGACGACGAATCCTTCTGCACCTAAATCAGCTTTCTGATGCTCCCAAGAGCTCTGTACCGGCAGCTGATCTTAAGAAAATTCATAAATTGCAGATTGTTTTTTTTTCACTTGTATCGACCGAAATCAATGCAAGTTTAGTCGACTCCAGTTTACACAACGTCAAAAACTGACGCGTTTATATCCTGTGTCGACAGTCACATACCCGCAACTTATTGTTCAGTTGGATACCCTTCTCGAAGACCGTCGTACCCAGAATGCTCTTTAGGACCTATTTAGAGACACCCGTTCTCTTCCTAAATTGGTCAGCATGTCGGATGCACCAACCCGGACAGAGATTCAGGGAGATGACGTTGTGAACGATCACCGCCTCCGAGTTGGCAGAGTGCGCGATCAGACAGCCCGAGTCGACGACCTTTATCACAACGTCAGCAGACTTCCCCAATGGGCGTTGGAGTTCGTATTTGAGTAATGGTTCACAAGGCACAACGGAAGCCTTCTTCGGAAGCAGCAGGTGTCAAACATTTGTATCTCTTGATCGGCAGCGAGTGGAAGCCGGGGTTTGCAGCCACTAAGCAAGATGACTTTTTCTGCAGAGGTTTTGACATTACCATGCCCTACATGCGGTCCTTGCGCTGTAATTTTGTACACTTTAAATGGTAGCCGCGATACCATATACGTCAGTTTGCTGACTTTTGACAGGTTATATCAATCTGTTTTTGTTACCGACCCCGTCTCCGATGGCTGTTTCTCTTCCTGAAGGCAAGAAAGTTGTGAAGTTCCTTCGTAGAAACTGTAGAAACCTCTTTACCAGAGGTTACATTGAAGGACACTATTACGTCCGACGATGACGGTGAATACTGTTCGCACCTTCATTCGAGTTGCCCTCGAGGAGGAGGGTAGGTTAAAATATGCAACGCAGATTGCTTAACGTGATGACTTCTGACTGAAGAGACGAGAATAAAGCAATTCTTGGAAGACTGTCTGTTTTGTATTGTCACGCTGGCTGTGGGCATTTGTAGTGTAGGAGCCGACATTGCGTTGAGCTTCCTACTCACGACAATGCTGGTCTGTGTTCAAAGCTGCTGCGGGCGCGCACACAAATGCCAGGGTGTGCTAGTGAGTGGGCAAGTTGTCAGGGGAAGCAAGTGTGTATCTTACGTAGTGCATCCCAATAAATGCTGACAGGACGAATCCGTCAATGGTGAATTTCACTGGTGCTCTAAAATGGAATGAACCGCAGAGCGTGTCGAAAGCCTGGAGCTAAGTGGCGCGGGGTGCAAATAACGTACTCCGCCGCAGAGGTCACAAGGGATCGTGACCGCAGTAAGGGGAAAAGAAACATGCGGGGAGAGGAAAAATGCTTTCTAATGTTGGTGTGTTGATAAGTGGGTCTGAGTCGTGCTCTCAACTCGAGGGGTCGAGTCTTGTCGTTGACATCCTTCGTGAATGCGACTTTGTGCACTGTCTTTTGGTTGGATACCTCTTCCTCATGGTCCCCCTGGCCCGGTTTGGCATCTCACTCGTCAAAGGAAAGGGATACTTTGTCAAATGCGTCGCTAACCTTGTTATCATACCAACAGACATGTCCATTGACATGGTACAACATAGAGGGCAACAATAGGATGAAGGACCCTAATGAACTGAATAAAGAAAACGGGGTAACTTAACCACCATAACCACAGGCCACGCGCTAACTAGTAAGGAAGACGAGTAAGTTGTGTCGACGCCCAAAACTGCTTTGAAACTGGAGCAGCCCTGCATCTGCAGTGGAACACTACAGAGACTAGAGGTTGTCAGCACTGGCCAAGTCTAAATTGTAGTCGATTCTGTGTTTGCAGCAACACATCGTTCCGTCACAGAGAACTTAACCCTCAAAGTAGGGGACCGCATTTGCATTCGGTCAATGACCCAGCGATATTTGACAAAATTCAGGTATGCAATCTCGGGTGAGGGGGGGGGGTAGATTTTATCGCAATTAAATGGCGCGACATACTTCAGGAATGCCAGGATCTATTCGCGATGTCCGTACTTCAGTGTGCAACGATGGATATTACAATAAGACGAAGACCAACTTATATTTCAAATTATTTCCAATCTATGTGTAGACTCTTCTACGACTGACCCCCAAAACCGGCGGTTGACATGCTGCGGTATTTCTGCAAGCCTATGAATATAAACATTTTGTGAGTATCCTGTGTAGGATGGCCTAGATATTATCTTGCCTCGTACAGGCAGAATAAAATGGAAGAAAGGCAAATAGAAAAGACTCTGGAATACAGGTGTCCTGCGCTAAATTCCAGAAGGGGTACCTATTCCCCTGTCCTAATCTTAACACTAGTCCTCAACCTAAACCCTAATCTCCCTGGAATTTAGCGCAAGACTACCTGTATCAAAGACGGGCAAGTTTCTATTCCCGTGTCCTATCGAATAAACTAGATGCGCTCCAGGCAGCAGATTTGGGAATATCGCTTGCAATCAAGCGAAGCTGGCAGTTCCGGGCATGCACTTATGAAGACGGATTGTTGCGCCGCCGTGAAGGCAGTGTGCTTACAGAAGCGTGGGACAAATAATGCGAGTTCATATATTATGGCACTTTCCGCACGGCCGGGCAACGGCCAGTTGCGCATTCTGACTCTGCCAACAGACACTCGCGGATATGCGAAACGCCAGAAAAAAGAAACCTCTGGATCTCTTCGGACAAACGAGATACAAAAGTAAAACGGGGAAGACCACCAGGAAAAAGTACCCGGCTGAAAGGCAGTATAGAGGATCACGTCCGAAGAGCTTCTGCCTGACTGTTTCAACAATTTAAAGCAGGCATGGACAGCGGAATTTATCGGAACCGGTAAATTTCGCGACGTCTTATCAACTGCGGCCTGTCGTTGATTTACGAAATCCCTCGACGTGTTTACTTCCCCTTTTTTCCTATATTGCGTTTGAAGTTGCCATTTTATTGGTTAGTCTGCGTGCAGTATACGATGACCTTGCTGTTTTACATTGATTTTCTCTGTCGAAGTTCAAACTTCTGTATCTTTCTCACTTGTTTTCTGTGTTATGTAACGACAGACTGCAGTTGATAAGCCGTCGCAAAATTTACTGCTTCCAATAAAATCTGCTGTCCATGCCTGCTTTAAATTCATTCCGGGGAAATATTGCTTCATGTTTCAACAATGTGTCAATGGACTTGGTGTAGCGACTGATAGATTTTATGAGCCACGATGCATTTGCCGTGAGACGAAATCCGCCATTAGATCGCAAGTACACGTCGGGATGTTTAATTTATTGAGCTATCTGCCATTATGCCTGATGAGGACCGCTTGCATCTTAGTTGAATGTAGTGACTGCTTGAGACTCGAATTTTTAAGAAGGACTAGTGATTTTAGTTGAGATTGGCTGCTCTAGTAGAAGACTTGGCCTTCGAATAGATAGTCAGCCTGATAGGCAACAGAAAGAGCCTTTTTCATAGCAGTTCATGCTTGTCATACTTCAGTGCTGTCATCGAACTCCGCGGCATTTGGGAAAGTAGTCTTTTCGCCAGACCTAAATTCTCTACATCACGTTAAGACTACCACTGCTAGTTTGCGACCTCTTATTCACCAGAGGTAAATCTTCTTATTATGCATTTAATTTCTCATGGAAGTCCGTTCTACTACCAGCAAACATGAAGGGTGCCTAGCAGTGAGGCAAACAGGCAAGCTCAATCTTGCTGTGGTTCTTTTCTTTCAAATGTAATCCTTGCCCTGGGTTAGGCATCCCGATCAGTGCATGTACGGTACTTCTGCTTATGAAACTGTCTCCTGCAGAGAGCAGTTCACTGAGTACAAAGCAAGCTAAAGTAAACGACCGGAATGTTATGAAAAACGACCCGAGCATGTTTGTTTAGATTTTCGCGGGAAAAATCGTATTCGGACACCGGTCCCATTTAAAGAGTCTATCTCAAAGTCTACTGACTTTAACTGTTGGACTATATTAGCCCCGTTCAGCACACGCAGTATTCGCGTCAGTTCCAGGTTGTTTTTGAGAGGGAACTCTTGACCGGTTAGGTTTATAAGGTAACGCCAGGGCGGATGCTGTGAGGTCGACGTCCCCTTCGTTGTCGTCAGTTGCCACAAGAGCCGCATACAGAGAAGATCAGCCTCCAAGACAGATATGTACGAGTGTTGGACATCAATTGTGGATAGGAGATGGACGTTCGAGGAATCTGGAAGGCAGGCCTTGATCTTTGTCTGAAGCCAGCTCTTGATCCGCGGTGATTGTTTTCTGTCCATGTGGATACAGTAAGCGTTTTGTGGACAGTAAATCGCCCTCAGTAAACGCCATACCTACAGAAATAAAGAAAAGGTGGTTGATAAGTATTGGGAAGGAATGAATCTCCAAAGAATGTTCTCATTCAGTGTTGAAAACGACCGAAAGAGGGAGTTGTGCTTCCAGTCAGCGTGCGCATTACTTACCCCAAATAGAAAGCTAGAAGTACGATTAATTGGTAGGACTGGTAGACTGCCAGCTGATGGTGCTGATATCCGACTTTAGTGTCGTTACAGTCAAGAAGTCCTCTACATGAAAGCAGTCAAAGTGCTTTTGCTGAAGAAAAGAGACAGGGACCATTCTGTCAAGACTTTCTGTATTCACCTACGGGTTCCTCTTGTATTCAACTTTCCAAGTAATTATGGTAGAGAGCCACATGTGTTATGAAACCCAGTAAATCAGTCGTAGATGATTGCAACGAACGCGGCCGAATTCGTTAGTTTCTATTGTCAACAACGACTAAAACGGGAGTTTGAACGAGACTAAAAAAACACTTTTAACACCCCAGAATACTGACAGGCCTGAATTGCCCTACGAGCATGCTAGTTAAGGAAAAGCAATCACATTTGACGAAAACTGAGGGTTTATTCCCACCAACAGTCACATGACCAAAGGATGGCTGAGATGGGAACGCACCCCATCTGACAGGTAGGTCGACTATGTCGTCAACGGAGAGGGTACGTTTCATACTTTTTTAGGACTAGCCCATAATTTTAATAAGACCGACCGCTACCAGCTTTTGGACGCTAATCATATTACATCTACTCGACTGAACGCATAGCCGTGGTAGTGAAGTCGTGAGGCTTCCATGGTTACCTCGAAGTTCTTATATTTATTTCGTAGTTCTCTTAGGTTTCATATATTGTCTCACACACGTGATCCCCCCACTTTGACTAAGACTGATGGTTAAGTAAACAGTGTGCCGACACGCAGTGGCGGTGTAAATTGACCGTTAAACAAAAAGGCAAATACAGAATGTACCCACCGCCATGGACTCTAGTGCCAGGTCCTTGACTAGATGGCTAGTGATCGCCTGGTGCAAAGTCCTTTTGGGGGCATCTGTTGATGAATACGGGCCTCTTCACTGGCCTAATGCTATCAGTAGGACAATCTGGACCTCAAAAATTTGTACTCGCAAAGGGCGCTTGCCTTAAATATCGATTCGCATAATGCAGTGCTAAGACCTTGCAGGAAAATTCTGATATAACACCCAAAACTAAAAAACTCGGATAATCAGTGAGACGAGGAATATAGATTAACGAAGGTGTAACTTGCAATATGTAACACGCGGTGCGTCTTTTTTATTTTCTAACAAATATTTCAGGCGTACAAATCTTCGTCATTAGAGGAGAGGGAAGAATCAGTTGAACTTTTCAAAGACAACCTATTTTGCAGATTACATGTTTCCTTAAAGCTAGGAGATTTGAAACGTTGGAAATATACAGCAGGTAGGCTAACTCACGATATGTCAACCGAAATTCCGAAATGCGTTTTCGTTTTGAAAAGATTAATTAAGTAAGGTTGTAAATCTAATCTTCGTGCAGCATAGTTCTATAATAATTCAGTTACCTCAGCATGGCGGCCTTCGAACAAACTGCTTTCTAGCTGCATGCAAAAACTATGCTCTGTAAAAATGACTACTTACGCAGCATACATTTTTCTCATGAATTTTCGATTATTTTCATAGAAAACATGCATAAAACTATTCATTCTTCTGTTTACTCGGTAGAAAATTACGTCTTCTCCCAATTTTGTACTTGAAGGAAGGGTGTAACTCGGTTTTCAAAAACTTTTGAAATTTTCGAATAATTTTGCATTCCGACCTGACGTTACGCTTGCATTCAGAATTCCGAAACTACAAGCCGAATATTTTCCCCATACGGAAAACGATACATTTCTCAACGGTATAAAGACGAGACCATATGAGGTTCATAGAATTTAACAGTGGATTTTAGCCATATCGTTAACTTTACAAACCACATTGGTAAATGCAGAGACATGACGTTTTAAGAACGGCCATTTCACCGTGTTAAAAGTCTCACAATGAGAAACTTTTTTAAAACCAAATTATACCCTTCCTTCGAGTATAAACTTGGAAGGTGACATAACTTTCTACCGAGTGAGCAAAAGAATGAATGTTTTTATGCATGTTTTCCATGAGATATAACTGAACTTTTAAGGGTATCGAAAATCAATGAGAAAAATGCATGCTGCTTAAGTAGTCATTTTTTACAGAGTGTAATTTCTGCATGCAGCTGGAAAGGATTTCGTTCGAAGGCCGGCATGTTGAGATAACGGAATTATTAGAGAACTATGCTGCACAAAGATTAGATTTACAACCTTACTTAATTAATCTTTTCAAAACGAAAACGCATTTCGGAATTTCGGTTGACATTTTTTGAGTTAACCCACCTACTGTATTTATAAATATATAAACATATACATATATAACGGTATTGGGGCGTTCACCGGTCGCCCCACATAACTCCCTCGTCCCTTTGCACCTTGAAGCTCTCTCTTGAGCTCCGGCAGCAGCCGCATGGCGACGCATAATATAGGCAGAATTGCATTACCGACAAAGACATGGGAGACTAAGATGGTCATTTTTGGCTTATTAGCCGTCGTCAGCCAGTCATACCCAACTTCGTGGTGTTGAACACCTGGGCCTCGATCCCGCGACCTGTTGGTTATAAGTCCAGCGTTCCTAACCGCTGAGCTACGGGCTCGTTGTCCTGTTGGTTCCGATCGGGTATTTACGCTGATGGGTTAAAAATAGAGGATGGGAATGGAGGCCTGTTTTCACTGGCAGAGAACAGGAGGTAGTGGAGGAAGGGCAACAGCTTCGCCTTTCATCGAACGCACCTTTTCCAGACATTTAAAACAGAAGCTCTTTGATTTTTGTCCCATTGAACAAAATTCGGACGAATTTGATGCAGGGTTCTTCTTGGCTGACTACCTACTTCCAAAAGTTTACTAATGCCGTCTCGAGAGCGCGGAAACGATTGTCTCAGACAACGACTACTAACCTGACTGGAAGTATACTGGAGAAAATTGGAGATCTAATTACCTTATATAGAGGACCTGCTTGTCTTCCTCTCTTAGCTTTCTATGTAGTGGGGCTTCAGTGGCTGTGAGTGGCTTACCCCAACGGATAAAATATCTCATGGCGAACGATTGGAAGTCCGTTACTCTGACGGAATTACCGCACAACAGAAGGGTAAGCTAACTACGTCAACCCACGTTATTTCGCACGGTGGTTACCTCCGGTCAAAAAAGTCTGCGGGTTCGCTTTAAACGGACACAAGTCGCCTTCGGGTAGTCATTATATGCGATGTAAATCTCCCGTACTTGTTAACAGCTGAATCGCAACTTCTAAAATACGGCACCTCACATAAGCACTGAGCCGAGATCTTTGAGCGAACCGCCCTTATGTCTTCACTGGTCAATGCGTGCACCAGAGTAATTTTTGGTGTGCGCGTTTTGGACTCGATTTTGCACTCTACATTTTTGTTTGCTCAAGTCATGCAGTAACCTCCTTTCGCGCGCACTGTTGCGTTGACTGGTTATGCTAGTCACGCTCAGCTAGAATGTTAATTGGTCCCCCCCAAACGGGCCACGCGGTCGATGCACTGGAAGAGCACGCGTCCATGTCGGATTCTGGCAGGCGTTATCGGGTTGCACGCATAACAAATGCCAACATGGATAAAGTCGAAAGTTCGAGTTCCAGGTATACGCATAATTGAAGAAGAAGGATGGTAGAGCACCGGAACACTCTGTTTATTGTGCTGGGCTTTCGAACTCGTGCGGGAGTCCATTGTCAGAGATAATAGCAGCAAAAGAACAAGCGACAGTTATAGGGCATGCAGGCCAATCACCGACCGATGACGCAGGACTGGGGATGGCTGCGTAGGGCTCTGTATGCCGACGCAAAATCGACAAATCAATTGACTGAGTTCTCTCCCAAGGTCCAGGCTTCAATCAATTCTCGGCCCGTTTTGTTTTCGGCGTGGACGACTATTTTGGTGGCTGCGAAGTCAAACTCATGACCCATTTTGTAGGCGTGAGCGGCCACCTGCGATAATGTGTCGCCTTATCGCACAGCCAGCTTATGTCCGTGTATGGGCGATTCGAACATGCACCCAACTTAGCCTATGTAGTTACAAGGACAGTTTTGGCACGGGATGAGATACACAACCCCAGATTGCTCCTCAAGCTTGAACCGGTCTTTACTTTTCATGACCCTACTGCGCATGATGGCTTGGAGGCGGTGAGCAATTCCAACACCTCGCTCAGCAGCAATGCCCTCGGTTGCCTCTGAAACGTCCTTGATGTATGGCAGGGAATGTCATATCATTGGTGGCGTTAATGTTTGGGTTCTCTGGGGGCAACCGCGTAGACAGCGACTTATGAATGCCTTCGGATAGCCATTTTGCACAAACTGATCGCGGAGATAACGGGTCTCACGTGCTCGTTCTCCCGGTTTGCTGTTTGAAGAGCGTCTTCACACAGCTTCGTTTGTGAGCCACCGGATGGCTGCTGTGAAGATTGAGAAGTTGTGTGGTGTTCGTTGCCTTTCTATAAACCGTCGTTTCATGTTCACCGTTATGGTTTCGTCTGAGGAGCACATCAAGGAAGGGCAACTGCTGTTTCTGTTCTTCTTCCCTCGTGAATTTTATACCAGGGAAGACTGATTTGAGCGGGCTGTGGAAATGTTGTAGCGTGTCCTTCCTTAAGATAGCAAACGTGCCGTCTATGTAGCGGTGCCAAAATACCGGCTTACGTTGGATGATGGCAATCTTTTCTAACTCCTGTAGAACCAGTTCTGCCGCTAAACCGAAGACCGGTGGGTCCATTGGGGCTCCCTTGATATTTCCATAGGTCTCCCCAGCAAAAGTGAAGAAAGTTTGTTGGCAGAATTTAAACAGTCCCATGAGGTGTTCAGTTTTGAGTGCATTCTGAGTATCTTCGTAGGCCTCTTCAAGTCTCTTGTGCGGGACTTCGCGGCCAAACTTTGGTGGAATGGATGTGAATAAAGACGTCACATCAAGGGGAACCACGATTTCGTCCGATTGAATCCTCTGGTCTCGGAAGTCTATGAGAAATTGAGATGCTGATCGAACTGATGTAGTCGAATTGCCTCAGAGGAACTTCAGTTTTGCGAACATCCACTTTGCCGAATTATAGGTGGGGCAGCCGTTTAGGGCCACGATTGGTCACAGTGGAAATTTGCTTCATGCATTTTTGGCAGACCATAGAATCGAGCTAGCGCGGTGTCCGTTACCTTCCTTTGGTGCCATTCATTCTCTGTGATCACATTTTTGTGCCGCTATTCTCTAAGCAGTTTGCTCAGTCGATCTGCCATTGCTTTGTCTTGTGAGTTCCTGCTGTTCTCTAAAATTCTCTCTCATCAAGAAGGGTTTTAGCTTTTTAATTAGAGTCTTCTCGATTCATCACGACGGTTGGTTGTCCCTTGTCAGCAGGCCGAATGATAAGTCTGTCGTCCTTCCTTAGATCCCTCATAGCTTTTGACACAATCTGCAAAAGGCATTGGGTTGGTCTTTGTGTCATCAACAAGGAGGTAACACTTTGTCGGACGGAATGTTTCTTGTCGTCGGATGTTTCATTTATCATGAGCCTAGCTTCCAGGGCTGCAATGAAGTCGACAGGATTGGCATCTACAGTGTTGAAACAAGTTTCACGCCGTAGCACTCGTATTTGCCGCTCTGTTAACTGTTTAGACGAGAGTTTGTGCACCAAGTTTGAGCTTTCCGTGCCTGTTGGTTTTAGCCTAATCAAGTTCCGTTCCAAAACTTCTCTCTTCTTGCTTGGCTGTGGTGTGCCAAAGTAGAGGTCGTCTTCCCAAGATCAGCGGCGACAGAATTCCCTAGAGTGTTGACACACTGTCTTCTACTCTCATCGATCTTGGCTTTGTATGTCTGCGAACGCCGTTGACAGTCATGATCAGAGCTCTCGTCATCTGTTTGACAAACCGCCTCACAACGTCTCCTCTCATAACCGTGTTAAGGGGAGCTTTACATCTCAGCCATCGTGAGGTTGGTCCGTCTTGGAGACATCTGTGCAGAAAACGCAACTGTTCGTATGTTGCCGCCTCTCGAGCGCAGAATATCTCCCCGCCATCGGGGTATAGTGGCGGGCCCGGTAGCCGGCAGCCGTTGCTCACACTGAGATCCCTACTCCCCCCATTGTTGTTGTCGGCCAAAACCTGGTCATTTGTCGTGTGGACCAGGGGGTGTGGAGAGGAACATCAAGGTGCGCGCTCGACCGTTCTATCCACCTGCGCCCTCCCCCACCTCCGGTCATCTTGACTCTGTCATGACACCAGGTCGATGTGAGGGAGGAGGAGAAAATACGGTAGATGCTGTGCAAGTTTACATTCACTATAAACTAATTCACGCACAAGTGGACATCGTCGGCAACGAAGGTCGGAATGTCAAGATGTTAATGGGTTCCGTAGCTGTGTGTCCGGCTTTGTCAATCATTAAAGGACTGCACATGCAATTTTATTGATCGTTCGGCAGCAAATGCCAAGCTGACTTCGGTGCAGCCCATGCAATCGATTTTCCCCCCAAGAGGTTGTTTTCTACTCAGTAAATATCGCGAGTCTGGACGCCAACCAAGAATTCCAACGTCATTGCCTGCTTTACCTATGTGTTGACTGACTACAAATCTTCAGGATGCAGTTCATACGACAGTAAACGGTGCAGACGACCTCGTTACCCAAGGTCAAACGTTCTGGGACGGTAATTCAAAAAGGTGAAAGAGCTGGACAGATTTCTCGAGCAAAACAGATGTCGAGCGAACAGGTGACGCTAAAAGGAACAGCAACTAGAAGTCTGGAGGGCCATTTCCTACCTCAAAGGAGCCTTCAGGGCGGTTTCTTGACTATTACAACCCGGCGCAGTAGGCATCGCTCATCGACCTTGGGTATTACTTCGTCGCCTTTTAATGCAACCTAAGGACATGCTGCCACTTACCGAAACATCGACAATTGTCTACAAGATATGTCGCAGTGATAGGGCCTGCAACTACGCTGAGGAAACCGAACGAAAACTGTGGACTCACCTACACGGGCACAAAGTTGAAACTTGAAGTTCAGACCCATATTCTCAACTTACAATACACATAGGCGAAAGTGGCCATAGTCCCAACCCTTAGGGAACGACCATCCTAGGCCGGCCAGCTCAATGACAACGACTCACACTTGAAGCTCCTGGTATATCACAGCTCAAAGAAGTCCGCTTTTTCGATACTGCGTCGACTAATTGATCCTGCCAACACGGGTTCTGTGTTTAAGGCTGACCCGATGACGTCCGAGCGCCATCCCTTTCGACTGATTTTTCTATAATGCAGAAATTTAGCTGATGACCTGTATCTGTCCCTATACATTGCCATAGTAACCCTCCATTTTCCCTGGTGGACTCTATCAACCTAAAGTATCCGGCTTTGAATGAGCAGAATGCTTTTTCTCGGTGGGCGTAACCTTCTGCTACAAACGCGGGGCATTTTTGTTGAACATCGTTCTTTTTATCTTACAAATAATCAGTATTTAATTGAAAACAGTGCCCACACATTGTCTGGGCTACTCCTTAAAAATACAGACGCTGTTTGGCCAGAGAAGACTTTCTGCTTTATCTGACAATTAGCCACTATTTTAATGCTACATATCATGCAGGCATAATACTCAGCCAACCAGAAAAGGCTTCTCCTGTGGTGCAATTGAACCGCCCATCTCCTAAATTAAAATCAGATGCCGAATGGTCATCAAACTTAAATGCAGGCTTGCCTCGTGTGCTAGACAGATGGACAATTATTTGCACAGCCCGGTAAGGTGGCTCCGGCAGGCCAGCAGGTAGATTATCCCGGCGAAACAGCAGATTGGTCCCTCTTTCAATTCGTTTATTTTCTGGCTGTGCAAATTTTCTATCTTCCATGGTATAAGGTAAAAATTTTTCTACCCAATAGGGTCTCCTTGTATTTTATAGTGACTGTGCTGTTGAACGTGTCTTGGCTTCTTAGTCGTGAATACGCTTTCCAGAGGGTGCTCCGGTATCTACAGTCTCTTGTTACTCCTCAGATCTATTCACGCAAGTGGGTGCATGCACAATAACCATCATTCCGTCCCACCCCTCAGTTGTTCTCGCGGTCCTATATACGCGTGACCCGCCCCCTCGCCACTGAGGGCTCCTTGAGATGCTCCGCTCGGATCGTTTTAGTGCCACCGTTTATAAAATAAAGTTTCTGAGATCGATTCTACTCCCTACTGTGAAGTTTGGGAGTCGTATAACTCCCAGCTTAAACCATACTCTCCACCCCCAAGGCACCAAAAGTAATATCCTCCCTCCTCCTAAGACAACACTCGTCGGCTTGCTTAGAAATTCGCTGCCTTCTTGTCTAACCAGGTGCTGGTGTCAAAATCAA